ACATGAAGAAGAGGGGACACATGTTGATGTAGAAGAGACATGAAGAAGAGGGGACACATGTTGATGTAGAAGAGACATGAAGAAGAGGGGACACATGTTGATGTAGAAGAGACATGAAGAAGAGGGGACACATGTTGATGTAGAAGAGACATGAAGAAGAGGGGACACATGTTGATGTAGAAGAGACATGAAGAAGAGGGGACACATGCTGATGTAGAAGAGACATGAAGAAGAGGGGACACATGCTGATGTAGAAGAGACATGAAGAAGAGGGGACACATGTTGATGTAGAAGAGACATGAAGAAGAGGGGACACATGTTGATGTAGAAGAGACATGAAGAAGAGGGGACACATGTTGATGTAGAAGAGACATGAAGAAGAGGGGACACATGCTGATGTAGAAGAGACATGAAGAAGAGGGGACACATGCTGATGTAGAAGAGACATGAGGAAGAGGGGACACATGTTGATGTAGAAGAGACATGAAGAAGAGGGGACACATGTTGATGTAGAAGAGACATGAAGAAGAGGGGACACATGTTGATGTAGAAGAGACATGAAGAAGAGGGGACACATGTTGATGTAGAAGAGACATGAAGAAGAGGATTTTGCATAATAGGTGACCTTTAAATCACAATCAATGCCTCATGGTTCAACTAGCATGAAACCTGATATGTTTATACCAACAACAAATCACGTTATATACAGTGATAGTTGCTCCAACGATCCACCAGTCACTTGTAGAAAAGCCTCAGTAATGTTAGTAAGTTTTAAGAGAAAGATATCTCACCTTTTCCTGCTTTTTTAGGCTTTTCCTGCAGGTAGATGCACTGCAAACTGCATACAGTCCAATTGACTTGTTTTGTTACAGACCATGCAACAGTTGTCAATCTTACAGAAAGTCCTCACTAGTCGTTCAGTGTCCTCTACAGTGTCAAGAACACCCCAAAACACCCAAAAACATCCAATATTTAATCTGGTGTGAGCAATGTTTGTAATTGTCAAGTTGAGTAATTGTATTCAATCCAAAAAAGTACTATTTCTTTATATGATATATTATAAAGATTAGTTTGAACAGTTTTCAAGCATTTATGTCGTCAGTAAGATTAAGCAAGTTAGGGTTAGGTGCTACAGGCAGGATGAACGAACACATTGTTTTATACTGTTTTATGACGTTTGGTCCAAAAGTTCAGAATAACCGAGATCCACTCATTATAAGAGTATTGCCATTTGGAAATTGAGCTCTTCTAAATATTGTAAAGTTATAGTTATATTTACAAATGGACTAGTATTTATATTTTATACATCTGTTCTATGATCTGTTTTGATGGGCACTAGGCACTTTCTCTTTTTGAGATGAATGTATTTTATGCATGGTTTAAGAAAGATATAATCAAATTAAATCATGTTTTATTTATATAGCACATTTAAAAGCGATTTTTGGTCGAGCGTAAGTGCTGTACATGTAATAAAAACACATTACTACAATCACAATAAAAGACAATAATTTACAACAGAAATATAAAAAACAAAAACACAAGGAAAAGTCAGGAGTCGTGCTCCGCTCTGACTAGAAGGCCAGGGAGAAGAAGTGAGTCTTTAGTGTAGATTTAAAAACCCCTAGGGTCTGGGCCGACCTCACATGGAGGGGCAGAGTGTTCCAGAGCCTAGGGCCAGCTGCTGCGAAGGCTCGGTGCCCTCTGGTTTTGAGCCTGGTCTTGGGCACTACCAGCAGCAGCTGGTCAGCTGACCTTAAAGCTCTGGCTGGGGTGTAGCGCTGGAGGAGTTCGGCTATATAGGCCGGAGCCAGCCCATTTAGTGCTTTGAAAACAAATAAAAGGATTTTAAAATCAATTCTGAACCGAACTGGAAGCCAGTGCAGTGAGGCCAGAATTGGGGTGATGTGGTCACGCTTTTTGTGGCCAGTCAGAAGACGTGCAGCTGCGTTTTGGACTAGCTGCAGGCGTTTAATTGATGCCTGGTCCATACCCACATACAGAGCGTTGCAATAGTCCAGTCTCGAGGTTACAAAGGCATTAATAACCCTTTCTAGATATTTAAAAGATAAAAACAACTTAAATAGTCTTATTTAAAAAGAGCAGGATTTGACTACGGTGCTGACCTGCTTGTCGAATGTAAAAGTGCTAGTGAAGGTCACTCCAAGGTTCATGACAGAGGGGAGGATGTTTTCATTGAGATAATAATATGACTTTCCTTGCTAAATGGATGAGTCATTCACCTGCTTGCATCTCATCGCTGTAAAACCCTAAGTCAAGATCAGTCTGACAGCAGCTCTCCAACATCTGGAAGAAACAGGTTGCAGCAGATAATTCTCATTTCACTGAAGTCTACTGTCAATACCAGCTCCTTTAATTACAGTGTGTTTGAGTTGTGTTCTCTGTATGTGTGTGTGTTGTATCTGTATCTTAAATCTGGAGCAGCATACTGTATCTGCTGCCTTCTGTCTCTGTATCACTCATATCTCGAGTGTTTGCAGATGACAGAGCCATATGGCCCCATCTATCCTAAAGCCTGTTTCTTTGGCACGATGCTGAGTTGTTTTTACAATTCTCCGAGACTTTCTCCAACACTTTGATGTAGCCGTAACCCCGGAGCTTGGACTCTTTAATGTCTCAAGCAAAGAAAGGTTTTAAATGTTTGATGATGACTTCCCTAATGAATCCTGTTATCAGCGGTGTCTTTGTTTCACTTCAACAGTTGTATACATTCATGAAAGGCTTTGAACTCTTAATTAAAAGCCATTTCTTTGTCATTTCTCAAAGCTTTGTGGAAAAGCCATTTAACAAAGCTTTTGAAATTGGTTAAGGGAGTCTGAGCTCGCACCAACCGCTGTGATATTGTGTACAGCATGGGAAATATGGGGAATCCCTTCATGCTGCGGACAAACCTCCCACGTGGGGAAATCCGTTTAAAGGTCTGAGCTTTGGGGTCCCACAAAGATTGAAGGGAAATGCCGTGTTCAAAGTGACTTTAAAAGCCCCGCCAGGTGGCCCCTTTGCCTCGCTGCTTTGAAATTTAGATTTTTAAAGCCAGTTTCAAACAGCGCCGAGGTTTCATCCTGTGTCCAGACGTCAGGATGTTTCAGGATTTCATGCCTGATGTGACAGCTTTGTCCCTCTCTGCAGGAGACTCTCAGCAGCAAGAAGCTTTCCCTGCACTTTGTACCACTGCAGCTGCAATTAGGACTCATATTTAGTCTATGGTACATAAGTGCATCCGTTGATTATTCGAATAATAGAATCTTAGCTTAGAAAATGTCTGAAAATAGTGAATAAACTGTCATCACATCAATGACTTGTCAAATCTTCCTCATGACTACCACTTTAACAAAGTTGTATATATTCATTTACAGACCTAATAATAATAATAATACATTTTATTTATAAAGGTGTCTTTCAAGACTCTCAAGGTCCCCGTACAAGGTACCTCTGGAACGCTCTCCCTGCGGAGATTCGCAACATCCCCACACTCGACGCCTTCAAAAGGGCCCTCAAGTCCCATCTGTTTGCCAAGGCTTTCGGCCCCTAATCGATCTGTTGTTTTGTCTGTCTGACTTTTGTTTTGTTATGTTTGTTTTTGCTATATTACTTGTAAAGCGACCTTGGGTCCCTTGAAAGGCGCTATATAAATGCAAGCTATTATTATTATTATTACATAAAACACAAAACTAAAAAGCACAAAAACAAGACAATATAATCAATAAGAGGACGTGAGATGTGATCAGGGTGGATATGCCAGTGTGAAGAGATATGTTTTGAGACATGATTTGAAAATGGAAGGCATTGAAATGATAATTAAAAGCCATGTATTTGTCATTTCTCAAAGCATTTCTCAAATGTAAAAGAATACTGGAAAAACTAACCTCACATCAATGCCAAGACATCTCCAGTTCAAACGGTCGAAAGACCGAATATCGATATAGAAAGGGAAAAATGAAAGATCCTCACACTTCATTGTTACAACCTTCCTTAAAGCTGGCAACAAAGAGGGAGGCCACACAGAGTTATAGGCCAATCAGATGTCTATTTAACATTTCACTTAAAATACCTCTGAGTAATTGTGTATGTAAGAATAAGATTGTCAGTCGTGTCAGCAGTGCGTGGATGTGTGAAAGTGTGCTGTAGGCATGTTGGATGGTGCATCAAACCAAACACAGGTGGAAGGCTGAGGTTGCTGCAGCAGGCCAGGATCAGAGAGACTGAGGGTGCGTCTCACTTCGGTTATTTTTCATTTCCACGCTCCTCGGGCTCGGTATCACCGGAAGTTGATTTGTCTGCGCCATCTTGAGTAGCCTTATTTTTGCCGGAGGATCGAGGAGCGATAACGGAGGAGCGATAATCGACGAACTACCAGACCATCCTCTGGTGAAATCCTCAGACATTCGCCCCGCCCCCTTACTGTGTATCGCTCACTGATTGGACGATGCAGCGCATGCACTGATCTGGCTGCTGTCAGACGATCAGCTGTGCGGGGGAAACGACGTCCCATTACTCATTTCCCTGCTTCTCGTGGTTTCCTTGCGTCTCTCCATGCTTCCCTGGTGGGAGGGACTAGTCGCAAGGAAACGACTTAAGTGATGGACGCAAGGAATCCATTTAACCGAAGTGAAGCGCACTTTGAACCTTCCAGCTGGGCAGAAAGGCCGTTATGCCTTCTTGAAGCTCCGCCTCTAGATGGGCGAGCACAAACAGGACGACACTCCCAGTACCTGCCAGAGGACAGCAAGGCAGGGAGCACAGACTGGCAGAAGGGGGAGGGGTCGTCACATCATCAATTGCATTTTTTATAAAATGAATAAGCTTATTATTTATATTTGCCACCTAAAAAAGTGCAAATACTTATTTGAAGAGCTTAATGTGAAAATCTTCCATTAGTAAACTATACTTTTTATGAGTAAATGTCACTGCGTTTATCCCCTGAACTATGACACGATTTATCTTTTCTAATGTCTTTCTCTCTCTCTCTTTTCTTTCCTCAGCGCTCAGTCCGTGGATCTCCTCGTTCTCCCGCCCCGGCGTGAGAGACTTCTCGCAGCTCACCCTTGACCTGACGAGGAATGAGCTTATTGTGGGTGCCAGGTAAGACTCAGTGAAATCCACTCAGCCGTTCACCCCGCAGAGCAAATGTGATACCCTCTCCGACTTACTCATGCACTGCGGTTTCCAGATGACGCTTCTTAAGTGCTCAACTGGGGCCGTGCTGGACCAAGTCGAGCTCTTGGATTTGGCAGGAGGGATGAATTAGGAAGACATACGTCATGTCGCAATAATGTGTGGGTGTGTGTTCTTGTAAACTGACTTCAGTTCAACATTCCCTCAATTTGACCTTAAACACACAAATGCAGTTTAAAGCAACACCACACCACTTACATAAAACTCAAAACAATGACTTAATACTGATGGACGGTTACAGTATGGCCTTAAGTCCTCTTTACAATAAGCTGACAGCAGCTCCAACAGCCTGTCTATCTTCTGATTGTTAAACATTTTTTACTATCTGGATGAGTTCTTGTCATATCGTGCACACACTTATCTCCTTTTCTTCACTCTCCTCAATCCAGGAACTTCCTGTTCAGACTGGACCTCAGTAACATGTCGCTGATACAGGTAGGATGCTGATTAAATATATTATATATGTTGATGATATTCATTTCTAGTGGTCTTAAAGTTGTTGTTTTTTGCTGAGAAAATAATATATCATTTTTATTCCGAGTTCAACCTTGAGTCAAGGGTATTTATTTTTTACATTTGATTGTTTTTTTTATTTAAAAAATGCTCAAACATAAGAGATAACAGATGATAAACAATGCAGGGAGAGCCATTGGGCTTACTTGAAGCCTCCACCTAAATAATGTCAAAAATATCAATTTTATAAAACACACAAGATCAATATACAAACAGTAACTTACATTTCAATCAGACAACTGACATGTTTCTTAATATGTTTATTAGAAGCAGCATATAGTTTGAGTTTGGCGTCTAGGCTCGGGCCTCATCACTCCACAGATTTACAAAGAACATTGAGTGATGATTAGATAACTATCCCCCGAGCCTACAGGTGGAAGCTGGGGTGGAAGCTGGGGGGGTGGTGGGGTGGAAGCTGGGGTGGAAGCTTGGGTGGAAGCTGGGGTGGAAGCTGGGGTGGAAGCAGCAGCAACATGAAACACAGCAGCAGGAACATGAACGTAGCAATAGCAAGTGAACACAGCAGTGGCAGCAGCAGCATAGCGAGGCAGAGGCAGGAAGACCTGGCAGCTTCAATAGAGCAGCATGTTTAGGAGAATGTGTTTGGTTGGTTGTAAGAGAGACGAGGTGCGTCACGTGTTAATGTATCATTGGTGCTCGAGTTGACTGCCTGAACTAGCTCGCAGGCTTCGCCCCATTTAGTAAAGATAGTAAGCTTTAAGGACAAACATATACTGAAGTGTACTGTATAGCATTTTCAAGTGTCCTAAACTACGCTGATTCTTCCAAAGCAGCTGGATCACTTTCTGTTTCCTCAGAGCATCGTTGGAAACACTCCCTTGTGATTCAAGATTTCTTTTTATCATGTATCCGTTTCATAACTTCTAGTGGGTGTTGCAATCATCTAGAAAGAAGCTTTGGGAGCATTCACAAAATATGTTACAGTATGTTAAAAAATACACTGCATACTTTGTTCTTATTGTTGTACAGTCTTGTGACATGTCACTGTACATCATTTGGTGGATGAAAACCTTTGCAGATCAATCAAATTAAAATGATACAAGGGATTGTTTACTGTAGAGTTTATTCTCCAAAGATTTTAAAAGTATTTGAATGGTGGCAGTGCATCCTAGGATTCTTATTAACTTGAAGTTACGGTACATTTCACTTATTTAAGCTACTTGCATAGCATTTTGTTGGCCGTAAAAATGGCTTCTTGCATGAGCACGATATTCTATCTGTTATATTTAACATTTTGAAGAGATGGAATAATTAAGTAACTAATTAGGGGGTTTTAACAAAGACCCCTGGTTGCAGTACATGTACTTGGTACCATAGAGGAACATTTAGACTTTTGAACACCTTGTTGACTGATTATATTGACGTTTTCAGAGAGTACATGTCCATAAAACCCTGTTAGTCGGTAATGTGACATCCCTTTTGTTGATTTTAAATCATTAAAGTCTCTGAAGGTGATGCTTTGCGTCTGGTGTTTACATGATGACCATTGATTTATTCCAAACTGCTGTTATAACTGGAAATATAACACAAACATCAGGGAAATGTCCAAACCACTGTTGTGTTATACAAGTTAATGATAGGGATATTTATTTACATGGCAGTTTGAAATGTGTTGTAGAACAAGGAAGGAATCAACATGAATAATTTTGTATTGTCCTCTATGTCGCAGGGGATGTAATTAAATAGTTGTGTTGAGTGTGTGCACATAGAGACATGAGTGTGTGTCCTGCCTGCGGGTGCATTCTGTGAAAGGCCTGTGGTGGTGTGTGTGTGTGTGTTGTGTTGTGGTTTAAAGTAGCTGTGGTTTTGTCGGGGTGTGAGCTCTGGGTCGCAGGGTTGCTGTACGCTTGCATCAGGCGCCACAATGACAATCCGCCGACTCTTAAAACCGGTACATCACTGTCACCATTAAAGAAACAGACGACTTTATAGAACCCAGTACAGTCTCCGTGCTTCACATGACTGCAGGATATCCTCTCTTCACTTTGCCAACGTTTTCCATTCATGCAAGGCACATTTAATGTCATATTCTGCTAAGCTTATCAAGTGTAATGTTATTTACTCTTCTTTATCAACCATGGCTGTGGAGTTCAGAGGACAAGGCTGCATGCATACACAGATTGAAACATGCCTTTGCAACCTCACTATCCGACAGCCACGGTTTACTTCCATGTTTTGGTACATTCAGTACATATAACTGTATTTAAAACCATCTTCTCAAGAGAACTCTGCGGTACACAGTGGTTCCACTAATCAGATAAACTGGACTAGGCTCGTGTCCCTGTTGTGGAAGTCGCTGCATTTTCAGCAAAAGTACAATTACATTTCCTTATTAGCCTTTTCCTCGCAGGGTTATGCAACATTGTTTTCAATTGTCTCCATCTTTTTAAAGCAACCATAAGTAGGTTAAGAATTACATTTGCAGCATCGGTTACATTATTATTTCTAGGACAAAGCCCTGCATTATGTTACACTACGTTTCCCCACAGGATCAGGGCACATCACCAGACTCTGCTCTTTCCTGACAAAGTCTCCTTTCACAGCAGCCACCACTGAATGACATGATGTGTACAGCTGCCACCCGTGTGTCACTTCCATATCAATGCGCCCTTTGTCTGGATGTCCTAGTTGTCTAGTTCTGGAGGAGAGAAGTTGACTTATGTGGGTTTTTATTTGTTTCCCCCCGTGTCGTGTTGTTCTCTGCAGCGAAGCTTTCCTCTTTGTCCTGTAAAAACTGCCATCTTAACATCCATAGGAATCTTTTACACCATCACATACCCTTACATATGCACAAAAACATACCTCTTTCCCCCTCATACACACACGCCTACACGCAGCTTATTGTGAGCTATCGGGATAAATGAGTCAGTTCCCTTTTTTTCGCTCTGGCCAGTGTGGAGGTGTCATGCGTGATGCCAAGGCTGAAATCAATGAGAGCGTTACACAAGCGGCCCAGTGAAGCAGAGAGAGGGTCTGTACCCCGGTGCTCATGGGCCAGTAAACCAAAGCTGTCCAAAGAAGCGGAGGAGGGCGGCATCTTAAAATACTCTCTTTCTTTTGTTGTGTAACCCAATGGAAAACAAACCCAGATCTACTACTTGCCAGTTCTAGCCTCTGATTCAACATCAAAGGCTCATTTCTCTGACGCATTTTGTTTAGATTCCTGAACCAGTGAGACGGCACTTGAATATTCAAACCACCTGTCAGAGGCTTAGGGATTTTTTTATACTGGGTTTGTTTGTTTTAAGTGTAGCTCTTTAAAAGAGATGATATTCTGCTCATTTTAAAGTATGTAGTGTCTCTACTTTAAAGAGTCCTCTCCTGTTGATGTTCAGGTGTATATCAGTATGTAGTGTCTCTACTTTAAAGAGTCCTCTCCTGCTGATGTTCAGGTGTATATCAGTATGTAGTGTCTCTACTTTAAAGAGTCCTCTCCTGCTGATGTTCAGGTGTATATCAGTATGTAGTGTCTCTACTTTAAAGAGTCCTCTCCTGTTGATGTTCAGGTGTATATCAGTATGTAGTGTCTCTACTTTAAAGAGTCCTCTCCTGCTGATGTTCAGGTGTATATCAGTATGTAGTGTCTCTACTTTAAAGAGTCCTCTCCTGCTGATGTTCAGGTGTATATCAGTATGTAGTGTCTCTACTTTAAAGAGTCCTCTCCTGCTGATGTTCAGGTGTATATCAGTATGTAGTGTCTCTACTTTAAAGAGTCCTCTCCTGCTGATGTTCAGGTGTATATCAGTATGTAGTGTCTTTACTTTAAAGAGTCCTCTCCTGCTGATGTTCAGGTATATATCAGTATGTAGTGTCTCTACTTTAAAGAGTCCTCTCCTGCTGATGTTCGGGTGTATATCAGTATGTAGTGTCTCTACTTTAAAGAGTCCTCTCCTGCTGATGTTCAGGTGTATATCAGTATGTAGTGTCTCTACTTTAAAGAGTCCTCTCCTGCTGATGTTCAGGTGTATATCAGTATGTAGTGTCTCTACTTTAAAGAGTCCTCTCCTGCTGATGTTCAGGTGTATATCAGTATGTAGTGTCTCTACTTTAAAGAGTCCTCTCCTGCTGATGTTCAGGTGTATATCAGTATGTAGTGTCTCTACTTTAAAGAGTCCTCTCCTGCTGATGTTCAGGTGTATATCAGTATGTAGTGTCTCTACTTTAAAGAGTCCTCTCCTGCTGATGTTCAGATGTATATCAGTATGTAGTGTCTCTACTTTAAAGAGTCCTCTCCTGCTGATGTTCAGGTGTATATCAGTATGTAGTGTCTCTACTTTAAAGAGTCCTCTCCTGCTGATGTTCAGGTGTATATCAGTATGTAGTGTCTCTACTTTAAAGAGTCCTCTCCTGCTGATGTTCAGGTGTATATCAGTATGTAGTGTCTCTACTTTAAAGAGTCCTCTCCTGCTGATGTTCAGGTGTATATCAGTATGTAGTGTCTCTACTTTAAAGAGTCCTCTCCTGCTGATGTTCAGGTGTATATCAGTATGTAGTGTCTCTACTTTATAGAGTCCTCTCCTGCTGATGTTCAGGTGTATATCAGTATGTAGTGTCTCTACTTTAAAGAGTCCTCTCCTGCTAATGTTCAGGTGTATATCAGTATGTAGTGTCTCTACTTTAAAGAGTCCTCTCCTGCTGATGTTCAGGTGTATATCAGTATGTAGTGTCTCTACTTTAAAGAGTCCTCTCCTGCTGATGTTCAGGTGTATATCAGTATGTAGTGTCTCTACTTTAAAGAGTCCTCTCCTGCTGATGTTCAGGTGTATATCAGTATGTAGTGTCTCTACTTTAAAGAGTCCTCTCCTGCTGATGTTCAGGTGTATATCAGTATGTAGTGTCTCTACTTTATAGAGTCCTCTCCTGCTGATGTTCAGGTGTATATCAGTATGTAGTGTCTCTAC